TCACCCTCGAGCACGTGACCCAAGTAAGAAACTCACTTGCGGCAATTTTTCGCTTCGATTCAAATAGCCCCTTTATAAAGATTCCCCCACTCAGCAACTGGTCAAAGTTGCAAGTGACCTACGCCGTATAGAGGCCCAGAGCGAAGCAGATTCCGAAGATTTATTTTCACTTGTTTTTTACCTTTCCTGGAAGCGCGCAGCGAAAATTAAGCACACTTTTCAGGCCGTTGCATGAGCCCCTACAATATGCGGAAAATCGTTTTCGAAAAGCGAATCACGCTCTGAACGACGTCCCTTGCAAGTATTCCCTCAACAAAAAAAGTTCGTATAAATTATACCACTCGCATTTACTGAAAGCATGTCCTGTTCATCTGCAACGGCCTGGCGTCAGACTTCTGCCGGTGTATGAAGACGTCAGACTTCTGCCGGTGTGTGAACTGGCCAAACATTTGCCGACATTGAGTGCATGACTGCTCTTTCTGTGGCTCCCATGATGGAAATGGAGCTCCCAGATTGGAGCCCGACAGCCGACCTGAGACTGCTTCCAGGAGCACGGTGCTCTCGGGACATAAGTTGCGTACGACGACAGATGTAGTTTCAACTTCTGCCAGAGTGATGACGTACGACCTGCGCAGGAACATGTCCAGACAAAAACATGATGTCTTCCTTGGCTTCGATGGGCGCTATTTCAGATCCATTCAAACAGCTGAAGACGCAATCCGCTATGGCAGCCTGAGCTTATTGACCCAAATGTATCGGCTAAGATGATGAGTAGATGCTCAGTAGGTGCTTATTAGAGGCTAACTGACGTGAACAAGACCGCCCTGAGAAAATGGGACATCCACACACGGAAGTTGCGGACCGGATTATTCGCATGAGAAAAAGAATTCGGAAAACAAGCATGGATATAGACCATGAAAACCGAACTGGAAAAAGGGTTGTTGAATGAATCACGAGGTGTCGAATACTCATCAAAAAGTTTCAAAGTGGTATCCGGAACACCACTACTACCTTCACGACTTTCAGTGTACTGTATGGCAATGTCCTTCATTGCCATGTGTCCATCTCCCTCCTTTCGCCACTCGCTGAACCTGAGTTTTTTTCTGCTTGGTCTCCTTATCAGTTTTTCGGCCACCATGCTTTGAAACTGTGTTATATTCTGTTCAGTTTAGTAACCGATAAAAAAATCATAGTCACAACTATTATTATAAAACTGTTTCGCGCATTGCATGGAGCCCATGCTGCTCAGCCTGCACAAAAAGGCCCCTTGTTCAAATACAGGGGTGGGGGGAGGCAAAAAAAAATCGTTTTTTCTTCCTCGACTTTCGAGGCGCTATAAGTTACATTTCAATTTATTATCGGACATTTCTACCTCCATATTAAAGAGCATATCAAAATACTATCATGATACTCCGCCACAGCCTTCTGGAGAAGCGCCCTCGCGAGATTCTGCCACGCGACCGTCAGTGGGTGCGTGAGTTCAGCAAGATCGTTGATTTCTCCGCCACTGTAGACCACCCTATTGAACTCCGCCCGAGCCCCGTATTCGAGGATGTTTAGGTCAGGTCACCTGCTTAGATATGCCACCTTCTTCAGGCACTCAACGCCCTTCCGTTACAAGTAGGCAAGAGTTTCTCCAACGCCCTTTGATTTCATGTGGTGGCACTCAATGCTGTAGCAGTACAAAGTTACGGGCGACGACATATGGAGAGGATATTCTTCACGAGTTGCCCAATGTAACCGCCAGCGCTCACCTTTAGTCCGGGGCCCACGAAGAAAATATCGGTCTCTCCATTCCAGGTACGTCCTGTCCCCACCATCAACAGGCGCCTTGGCGACTGAGGTGAAGATGATGTCCTAGATCGTAGCGATGTTGACGGAGCTGACCGATGATGGAGGTTTTCCAGATCGAGAGTACTGCTCTCCAGGTAGCTATCCATGGGTGGCCCCACCTGTTCGGAGGTGACATGAATTCCGAAGGTCTTCTCCAGTCAGGTTGCGGCTGGAGATGACTTCATATTTTGGTGTACATGAAGGTGATGGGCGAGATCCAGCTCCTGCTTATATAGCAACATCTTGGGCATCTTCCGCCCTGGTGTTCGTATCCACCTCCTCTGTTTGGGCTGCGAAAACTTTGCTGATACATACGTTGTTGATGTTGCGAACGGTTGCCGTCGCTCCGGTGCCGCGGCGCCACTCGTAGAAGATGATGTATCAAACATGGTCTCTGGAATTGACATCGTGATTTAAGCTAAGGAGGAAGCGGGCCTATATATACCCATTACGGAGAAATTTCTAGGATGTTCTACCACTACTACATGGTAGATCATTGGTATCGACCAAAAGGCGAAAGTTGCGGAACTTCAAAGAACCCTATCGTAACTTTTTGATCAACCTAATAGTATGATGGCCAAAGTGAAATCGTTCTTTCGGACTCTGCAAAAAAAAAGTGGTCCTTATCAGTCATTAAAGACTAAATCAAGAAATTTGGCCGGTTTCATTCAGTATATTACATCGTGAGAAATTGGCATATTTGCATCCTTTAGAGCTACGCTTATCACGAGTGCAGTTAAAACAGCCGTGAACAACAATATTCAATGTTGAGCTGGTGTGGGACAGCGAGGAACGTAAAGTTCACACGAGATTTTCTCGCAAAAAAAGATGTCAGCAGATCGTCGGCCAACTGAAGTGAATGCATAATAGCAGGATCTGAAGGTGAAATCGCGCTGATGACAAAAGAAGTTTCCTTCAACATAAGGGTATAAGTTATCGCATAAACAGATTCAGCAAAAAAAAAGATTATGTAGATAATAGCGTTATTCTGTTGGATGTTCATTTCGACTGTTCATTTACTATCGTTAAAGTCCTCTTCGTACATTTGCTTTTTGTACCACAGGCTGAAAGTAATCAATATTGTGCATTGCATTGGGCTCCGCGATGACGATCTCCAATGTTTGAAGAGAGCCCCGCGCTCAAATAGTACATGGTCCTCCTTCCTTGTGCAGGTAGTTCAGCTCCCCAAGCTAGATACTATCCCACTCTCGCAACTCCACAGTGAGCGAGGAGCGAGCTTTAGCCGCTCAAAGTCCAGTTCTAACGCCCGCCCAGTTGGACTGCCCCACTTGCTAGCTGCCCTCTGACGGACAGCCGCTCAGTTGTTCTTTGTTGGGACAGCGGGCATTAATCGGAACTGCATGTACTTTTTGCTGGCCACGCTCGTGCCCATAAATAATTCTGCTCTATTTCATCACATTTTATTCATTGGGAGCCGCATACTGCACGTAACCCCAAATTCGGACGCCTGGTTTCTGAATTTTACCTTTTTTCAAGTGCTTTTCGTTCGTGTCTTTGTTGTTTTTCATATTGTTTTCTTTGAATTGGATGTTGTCCACTATGGAAAATGCCATAAAGCGAATTGTGAGCCAGGGTTTGCCTGCGGACCGCAGGGCGGTGTAACTGTAAGGGAGCAAATGTGTTTGTGGTGTTCTTGAGGGCTCTTGTTGCTTTTTTCCTTCATTGAGGAATTACAGCTACTGTTTCACAACTGATCAGCAATTATCCTTGACACTTCTATGGCGGAAGCTGTCTTCGAGCATAATTGGGCGGGAAATCTATAGGCTCCTCAGGCTATAAATCAGAACCGGTCTTCGGGCTATAAAAAGGGGTCAGCCGGCTCATTCTCAGTCTCATCAAGTCAGTCTTTCCGTGGCCTTCTGCAATCCGCACAGGAGACCGGAACTCATCGTCCAGCACTTAAGCGTCGTCTCATTCTCAGCTACTTCCTTGCCTGACATTGATAACCAATAAATGCTATGCGGATGTAGGGCTAAAACACCCTACGGGACATCCTGCACTACTATGATCAAATTAGGTTGTTGCATAAGTCCCCCCCCCCCTGTTTTGATCCTTCCGCATTTCGTTTGCATGGAGGTTGGTATTTCGTCATCACGTGTGCATGACGTGTACATGATACTCTTCCACCATACTAGCTATCACTCACCCACCCAGCATTTGCAGGCTACAATGCCGCACAATTACCAGTCCCCGTCCTTCTGGGACGATGGAATCGACAAGCTGCCTGAGCGTTGGCGACGAGGGATGGTGACGGTGCATACCTCTAATCTTCAGGCTGGTTCGCTATTGAGATATTTACAAAAAAGTCGGGGAAAAGAGCTTATGCAACAACCTAATACAAGTGCAACAAATTGCAGGATATGGCTCAGTGATTTTGGAGTAATGGGTTTTCCTCGAGCTCTATTATGTTCGGTTTGTTATCATAGTTAGTACAGGCAAGATTGTAAGGAATACAGAGTGACGAAAATGACGTGCGTTTGATACATGATTGCGTTCAAACGTTATTCGAAGCAATTGTGCATAATTGCTGAGGTCAAAATATTTATGCTGGAGACGAAATTAGACTTAGTTCATTTTCCAACATGGATCGAACTTCGATCAATGAACTCGAAACAGCAATTCATCTCCTTTTTGTCCGGAACTGATACCTGTCTGACGGCAGCCCGGATCTGAATAGGCTTGCTTGTATAGGGTGTGATGAAGCAGCAACTAAGGAGCCAAACGTCGAATTTCCGATGGCTTTGTGAAACAAACGATCTCTGAGAAAATGGGTGGAATTGGAGAAATGAGAATCTCGCCGCACTTTTGATTACTGAAGCAAAGAGTTGATGCCTGTACCAAAACTGATAGCAGTGACCTCGAAAACTCCTTGTAATTGTAAAATGCCTGATTCATTCTTTCATGAAAGTAATTCTCTTTGAAAGCGCATGAGCAACGAATCGAGTAAAAGCGCTGAAGCGCCTTTAAAGGCAGCCGCAATTTTCCGCCGCACTCTAGTTGAGATAAAATATGTTCATGAATTATTTGAAATATTTTCATGAATGTTGTGCTGGCGACGGCAACAACAACATTAAGGACCTTGTTGACACTCTTTCAATGGCAGTTTTCTGGTAGTAGTTTATAGTACAGCGGCTGTCAGCAAGTCCTCAATTTACAAGAAATATCAGCTGAAACCAACCACGTAGATAGTGCTCATTGGCCTTTTTCCATTCCGAATACTGATCCTTGTACTTTGAAAGAGCGCTGCTGGAATGTATCTATGATCTACTAACAATTTTAGCTCCTGACAAGGGAAGGATGGTAAGTCGAAGTGGCCATTTGAAATGAAATGTATACCGGTTGGAAGGTTCGGACGGAGATTACCAAACCTTCTTCCATATCTGCTGCGGACCTCCCAGAAAGAAGTTGCGGAGCTATTTAGGGGGTGACTATTCGCAAACTACGAATTTGAGGCGTAAGGCCAATGCGCAGCATGGCCGAGTGGATACGTCATCGGGCTCACGAATGCGTGGGGAAGGGTTTGGGTCCTTGGTGCGGGTGCTCTTTTGCATTTTTTTTGTAAGTGATCCCTGTGCACTTCAAAGCTATTTTGCAAACTCTTGTGCCTGATAATGTCGTGAAGTAATGTTTCTGAACTGATGGAGCCATTGCGAACGATTTCATAGAGACCGGCTGAAGAGATTGTCATACGAGCCGAAAACTCCCAGCAGGTGCAAAAACCTTTGGGATAGACATCTTTCAACACCATGTCAGTAATGAGTGAAGGTTTTACCTATCGCGATCTCCGGCATGATTGCCACATCAACGCCACTTCACATGGAAGCATTTTCCCACTATAATCATCTTCGTTGGCCAATTCGTGTGGCTTCGGATTCGGTTTCCAGTCATGTCATTTGGAGAATAAAGTCATTTTCAAGGCAGAATCATCCGTTGAAATGCACTTTTGCTGTGTATGCTTTTCAAATCAAAGAAAGAAGAAGACAACAGCCTGAAAATTTTCTCCATGGAATCGTTCGCAATGGCTCCATCAGTTCAGAATCATTACGTCACGACATTATCAGGGACAAGAGTTATGCAAAATAGGTTTGAAGTGCACAGGGACAACTTTCGAAAAAATGCAAAAGAGCAAACGCATGAATGCGGACAGTCCTCCCTAAAAAAGCTCCGTAACTTCTTTCTGGGAGGTCCGGAGCAGATATGGAAGACGCTCTCGTAATCTCCGTCCGAAGACCTTTCAGCCGATATAAATTTCATTTCAAATGGCCACTTCGACCTACCATCCTTCCCTTGTGAGGGTCCCAGTATTTTCGAAGGATGCTGAGCATTCTCTCCAAAAAATTATTACAACTGAATACAATCAAAGTACCGTATAACATCCGGCATGCAAATATGTACAAGTCCTTGGTCGGCGAGTGAATTAGCTATCCGAGCGGCATGTCTTGTTTTTCCTCCTCCGGGCCCACCTGTGCAAAGGAATGAATTGGAACATTTTTCGAGAAATAACAGCTCGCAAATTCTCAATGAGTACCGCATAAAGCAAGAAAAAGTCTACAAATGGTCTGCTTCGAACTTGTTGCTGTTCAGAGCGGAAGTAAATGAAAAATAGATAGCTGTGTCCCAAGATGCTGATGGTCATTTTGATGCTAATGTTCCTGTAAATGGGTGAAATCTAATGGATTTACAACCATCTCAAAACGAAAATCAGCACGAATAGTGAATTCTCAACCTAGGACAGCGCGTCGATTGTGTGAGGCCCACTGTTGTCCGTAAACGGTAAACTACAGTTGTGGCACCAAAATTATTGCCTTTTCAGCCGTATATAAGCAAGAGAATTGCCTTGGAAAAATGGCATTGCTTTTTTCGAGTAACGTTTCCAGTGGAACGGAGAGTGTAAGACTTCTTCGGAAAAATCGCTGTGCAGATCCAGAACCTGCCAAAGAAATTCTGATTCTGAGAATTGTGATAATTCTCGGAATCCTCACAATTATCTGCTGTCAGTCTTTGCTTGCTGCAGAATCAACGATTTTTTGATGGAGAGGAACTCCTGGAGAAGCTACACAATTCAACTGCTTATCAAAAGTGCTATTCCCTCATGTGAAAATTTCGTCACGAAATCCACCGAGAGTTTTCAAGTTTGAAATCTGCCTTGTCGATGGCCACTCAACCGTTCAATTGGTTGAATCGCTGAGGTGACCAGAGCAACGTATTGGTGTACAATCTGGGAAAGGCTCAGATGTGCCTGACTCCTTTGAGTGGACACCACACGGAGAGCAGAAACGATTTCATTAGGAAAAAAACTACAGCGAATGGGGCAACAATCAATACAATTCAACCTATACGATAAAAGGAAGATCAATACAGCTCCTGGAGCTGGAGCGCAGCAGCAGCAGAAGCTAAACCAGGGGCAAGCCCGGGGAAGAGAGAGAAAGCGAGACCAAACCGGGGAGAACGTCTCCTGGGCCCTCGGCCTTCCCTTTATAGGTCCTCTAATTGGCCTGGGAAAGTTAGAGGGCTTTTTCCATTGCCTGGGGGAGAATATCAGTACCTTTGATCTGTCCCGCTTAAAATCGACAGAGGGAGTTACCGTAGTCTTGATCATACCGACAGATCGGGCGCAGGGATGTTCAATATGAACTCCTCTTCTTCGCGTTCTCGCCAGTAAGTCGTCCGCTGCTCCTCTCCCCCTCGGTGTGTCGCCGTCCTCGGCGACTGCTCCAGATCAGGAAGACTCACCAGGGAGGTCGTTCAGGACGTGGCGCGCTTTTTGAAAACGGTTTTTTTGCGCGATGTAGGGTCACGTACATGGAGTGCCAAACTGCTGTTCATTTTTCCTGAACGCCTCTGGGAATACCAAAAAAGGAGTGAAAAAGAGGTCCATGGAAACCGACTGTTTTTGAGGCTCAGTGAGCTCTAAATCCCTTGCAACTTTGACTATTATCTTAGTGGAGGGTCCTTATAAGGGTACTATAGGAATCGAGGGGGAAAATAGCCGCAAATGGATGTCTCGCTCAAGGCACGTGATTGAGAGTGACGCCACGTCATTGATACGTCATCACCTGCCGTAAGGTGTGGCGACTCCGGTCATCACTGCCGACCAAATGGTCTATCACAACTCAAGGAAGCCAAAAAATTTAGCCGAAAGTATGCCTATAGAGGTAGTTCGTAGTCCTGATCACGATTCTGAGACTTATTCTTGGCGCTGACGCAATCTGTCGTCAGAAAGGCACTGAAAGTCCCTCAAATGAGTGTACAAGCGACTACAGTTGGAAAAAGAAGTGGCTCCAAATTGGGATAAATGACACTACAGCTGAAGGCCAGTGCCATAGTCGTGATCAGGGCACTGAATAACATAAAAAGATCAAGTTTCAGAAAAGTTATAGCTTAATCATATGTGCAAATCGAAATTGTTGAATTGCACCAACCTAATGGGGTATAACTATTTAGAATGTGCCTATAAATTGTAGCTATCCGCGTAAAATTCATAAACAGACATATGGAAGCGATAACAGCGGAACATAAAAAATGCAAAAACTCGCAACGGGAGGGGAGTCGAACCATGTACCCCCACTCTCAATGTCCGCTTGAGAACCCTCCACTAAGCTATCCGATCCTTGTAGCTGAACACCGCCCCAATCGTTGAAGAAATCACTCTGACGAACCGCTCAGAGCAGTTCACTCTTCAGCTCCACGCTCTCCCAGGGTTTCCCGGTACCAGTACCCGTTTCGATCTGCCTTCCCAACCTTCTTTGTCGTTTTTCTCGGCGTACCCTCTTAGTATGACTCTGTTGCAGCTCTTCACAAATTTCACTGCTCCGATTTTTTTTGCAGCGCCAGGAGATAGCCAGGCAAAAGCCAAGAAAAGTCTCCTCCCTGCTCTACAGCTTCTCGCACAGTGAGTCCATAACCGTACTCTTGATCTCGGCAACAACTGCCCTGGCGGGTCGCTTGCAACTCATACTATCTACGAAGTCTTCTGAGCTCTGTGTCTTCTGACATAGCAGGTTTCCTTTCTCTCTTCAATTATTAGCTAGCTAGCTCGTTAAAGAACCATGTCGCCTTGTCTCTCTTGGCTTCTCGTACTTCACTCCAGGTTTTGTTGATGGGAAGACGTCTTCCAGTATTCTTTGACCAAGACAATCCTTTATACTCTGTGCATTTTCCACCATCGAATTGCCCTCTCAGTTCTTACCGTCGTTTTCCCGAGGAGGTCGATGGCCATGTCTGTTATGAGTGGCCTACATATGCTGACGACCCAGCACTTCGCCAAGCAGTACCTCAATATCCTCACCGACTCATGAAGATTATCTCCTCACCAATCCATGCTCAACTTCTAATTATCTCCGTTCACAGCTGTAAGTTATCCTCTAGTTTCTTCTTTTCACAAAGGGCTGCAGACCGCTAAATCGTGGACTCTGGCTAGGTCAAGGACACTTCTCCCTCAGCGTTTCTCGCTCCTATTCCTGACCCTCAGTGCACCATTTCTAGACTCCTTGTGTCGCTAACAACATGGCCATCCAGTGTGATTCCCTCCCATCTGCCGAATTCGAATCATTCTGCTGAACAGCTACGGCAATGTGACATCTCAAAAAAGGCTGTGGTGGAGTCATTAGATTTACCTTCATTCAATTTGAAGTCAAAGCGAACAATCCTTGCAGGCCTTATTCGAAACGCTATCAATACATGTTGCAGATAAGAACCTTTGGACTTGATAAAGCGTGCGTGAGACCTTAATCCAGTGCTTGAACTGCGGCATATGGGCAACTACATACTGTTCTCGACTGCTATGCGTCAAACGTGCGAGCGATATAAGGTTGTGGCACTAGAAGTGATTGAACTGTGAGGGTAAAAGCGGCCGCGGTGGTTTGACAGCCAACGCGCTCTTATCCTCTAACAAGGGAGGTCTTTCAGGTCGTGGCGCGCTTTTTGGTAATGTTTTGTTGGTTGTTGTAGGGGTCCATACAAGGATCACAAAAATGGGTTTCATTTTTGCCATGCATTTCAGTTGAGGTAAAAAACTGAGTGAAAAAATTTGGCAAGATTGGGCGATTTCAACTATCTTATACTTTTAACTATCGTATACTTAGCTTATTTCCACTGCTATACACATAGAAACGAGAATGAGACGAAAGCTGAGAAGTGCAAAAATTTTCCTCAGAGAGGATCCGATCCACAAAGTCCCGTATCGTCGTCCCCTCTAGAATCCATCGAGTTTTCCGCTGCGTTATCCGAACCGCCTATAGTGAGCATGAGGGGACCGCTAACAAAACCATAACCGTTGCTTCGGTGCATGCCAAGTATGTTACTACATGATTCTTACATTTTAACTTTATTTGAAAATTTTCGAAGCCTAATTAACGAGCATAGCAAAAATGAAAACCGTTTTTGTGACTCCTGTATGGATCCCTACAACAAGCAATAAACCATTACCAAAAAGCGCGCCACGACCTGAAAGACCTCCCTTGTAAGCTCAATGGCATCCAGTGCCATATGCTTACAACACTCACGCAATTACCGTGATGCGCTGTTAGTCGATATCGGCAGTGAATCGCGAGGATCAAGGCATTGACATGTTCTAAAGTCTTTCAACTTCGATAACTACTGTTTTAACAGCCCAATACAGATTCCACAGGATGTGATGAGAATGCCGAGTTATGAGCAGAAGTCTGACCCCAAGCGTCACTTGAACCAGCATCTTCCGCTTACCGGCCGGCTGTATCCATTACGCTACCGGAACCGCTATTACCTTCTCTGATCAGTTTCTTTTTGCGCCATAGACTTCTAGCACACACACGTTTATTGATGAGCCGGTTAGATGGTATCGGCAGCAAACCAAGAGGCTGATGGCTTTTACATGTTCTATATTGCTTCAATTTTGAAGAGCATTTATCGAAAATCAAAACAAGCTCTTCGAGAAGACGTTCGGTTTTTTTTTCGGTTTCAACAGATTCGCGTTCGAATGCAACTGATGATGAGGGTCTCATCACAGATGGTTGCTTCTCTGAGTACCTTCGTTGCCTAGCAGTTCGCTGTGGATAGCAATACGAGTAAATTCATGAGCCATATGAACTTAGCAGATTTCTACTTCCTTTTTCTCAATTTTTTTCCATGATCCTTCCCCCTTTAGTTCTTATTTGGCTCAAAGAAACAAGTGAAGAACTCACCAATGAACAGAATTACTGGTACATGTGGAATCTGAGCAACTTCAGCTGCCTTAATCACAGATGGCGACCGCTGCGTCCTCACCATCTGGTCTCTGGGCTGTCCGTCAAAACGTGGCGTATTCTGCCCGTCCTTTTCTTTAGCGCGGCGGTTCTTTGACCTCTCCCGTGAACTGAAAAGAACAACATTTTGAACTTTGAAGATAAACACTAGACCGCAAAAGCCAAAATCATGCTGTTGCTCATTGCAAGGCGATCATGACCATTTTAATCAAGGATGTGAATCCGTGAACAACTTACAAGGGAGGTCGTTCAGGGCGTGGTACGCTTTTCGAAAACGGTTTTTTGCATATGACAGGGGCTCACGCAAGGACC